CGACATTATTGTAAATATTTTAATACTGAAAATATTGATTGGAAAAGTTATTTAATTATGAAATTTAATCTGGTTCCCGCAGATCACATAATGAATTGTCACCAATTATTTTCAAAAATAATTAACAGATTTGTTGTATTTAGGTTAAGAATTATGAACAAAAAAAATTATAATTGTAAGCGTTACAATAGTAAGTCTATGGCTGTATATACCTTTTTTAAATAAATTTTGCAAATTTGAAAGTGCTTTTCTTTCAATAATTACATTTGACCGTTTTTTAAATTTTGCTTACAAAAGATTCGCTTTTTTTTAAGTAGAAGCTCTGCAACCCCTAATTAGTATGCTAACAAGAAAGATTAATAATGCAAAATATTAGGAAGCTATGTATTTCTAGCTATCATATTTCATGGTTGCATTCCAAAACGTCCTTTCCGAGGAAAATTTTACTGTTACATCTATAGTGAAATATGTAACGTGAAATATGTAACGTGAACTATACATTTGAGAGTAAAATTTTCCTTGAAAAAGATGTTTTGGAATGCAACCCATAAAAAAGAAATAACAAGTAATATAAAGAATTTTTCGATATATACAGTTTTTAAATATTGTATATAATAAGAACATAATATTTAGTTCCGTTGAAACATTTATTTTTAGTTTCTAATACTAAATTATCATTATAATGTTAATGGTAAACTTTGTGCGTTTCAAATATGAGCGGGAGTTGACAAAAATTCTGGACCAATCAAAAATGGCCCCCTTATGGCAAGTCTCTGATTGAAGCACGAACTAAAGAATAGAGGGACGGAGCATAAAGTCCTACTTTAGGCAAGAGGGGGTTCTCTTAGGCATGAAGGGGGAACCGTCATATTGATTTCTCCGCCATATTGATTTCAAAGAACTTACACATAGATATTGTCAGTGATATCCTGCTTGCGCTGTGTTAGTGTGACAGCTACAAAGTTAGGTTAGATACTCGAACGCATTCGTCTCATTCAGCAACGTTAATTGACTCTTTGCAAATAAAAATGGTAAAGTGCATTGTACCAGGATGTTTCACAACAAATTCTTCAGAGAAATGTAAAAATAAATTTCAAAAAGTATTGGAACAAAATATAAAAATTAGTTTCCACAGGTAAAAAATTATAATATATTATTCTTATTAATATGTAATATTTTATTTTTATTAATATAAAAATATTTTCTTTGTTAATACTATTGATGGATGTGTCTGTTGATGCTATATTTATTCAAAGCAAAAGAGAAAAAAATTTGATTAAAGTTATAATAAATATAACTATTTCTTATTGTCAACAGGTTACCAAAAGATGCAAATAGAAGAGCATTATGGCTTAAAAATATTGGATTAAGTGAAAACACTAACTTGAAAAAACATGCATCAATTTGTTCTTTACATTTTAAAGAAGGAGATATAAACAGGACATTAGATGAAATTTTTTTACGTGAAAATGCTGTGCCTTGTGTATGAAATATTATAATATTTTATTCTAGTTGATATTAATTGCGCTTTTTTATTAATAATTTCTTTTATTTCTTTAGGTAGAAGCTTTTGTTGATGACACACACAATAATAGAAAAGAACAAGAAAACATTAAAAATCAACAGAATTATTTAAATTTATCGTTTTCTTCTACTGATTATAATTCAGATCAACTTTCATATTTAGAAACCTCATTTTCATCAATTGATACACATAGTACAAAAAAATTAAATACAGGGAATAAAATACAGGGAATACAGATAAATAACAATAATTTTCAAAAACAAAGTATTTCCATGACTGATGAAATGCTTCTTGATGAATCCACTGGAGAATTAACTGTAAAAGAACAACCTTTGTTAACTGGTTAGTTAAAATTTTTATATAGTTATCTAATTTCATTTAGAAAATATTATATATACTTTAAAACTCTTTGAACATTAATACTCTATATTATTTTTAGATAAATTTCAAGATTGCACTGTTATAGTCGATGAAAAGTCTTTTATTGATAGGTGTACTTCTCCAATAAATTTATCTGAAAATTCAATAGTGAAAGTTCATCGTTCGACATCTGTTAATCCTGAACATTTTCAAGATGACAAAGATGATACTATCAAATTTTTGAAAGCTTCTTTGGAAGAATATAAACAAAAATCTCAACAAA